GGAAGTACAGCACCTAACAACAACGGCACGTGTCACCATAATCAACGGGTACATCACACAAATCTTTTTGTTCCAGGCGCAAGTCTACCCGCCGCCGGAAGAGATTTGGATGAAGGTCAAAAGAATCTGTCACAGCTTTGTCTCGGGCAGCCAGATGGCGGAGGGGAAAAGCTTCAAATTATGGAACTACGAGCTGATGTGCACTCCGAGGAAGGAGGGCGGGCTGGGGATGATCTGCCCCAAAAAGATGTTTGATAGCATCGCGGCGCAGAATATCGGGAGACTGGTATTGCAACAGGACTCGGTTAAGAGATGGCTGGCGCTGACGGCGGCCGCTTTGCCTCTGGACCTGGACACGCTGTTCGCCCACAAATCCCTGCTACGACATTGGGGGGAAGGAAGCAAGAGATGGAAAGAGATGTTTCAGTCCTTCTGGGAAACACCCCTCAGCGCACCACCGGAACCAAAGACAAGATGGGAAGTGGAAAAGGAGCGGCGAATTTTCAACCGACGAATAACTTTCAGAGGAGCCAGCCCCTTTGGGAACCAGAAGGGGTCAACTTGCTTGCTGGAGATGAGGATGGGTGACGTAGTCTGGGAGAGTCTCGGCAGCGGGCGCGTGCTCAAAAGTCTGGAGCTGCTAGAGAGTGAGATGGGAAGCGAGGAAGCGGCAAAGTGGGCGCTAAAGGCCTTCGATGCGGCTTCGCGAGAATGGAAGGAACTTCTGCTGGCCACACCGACCTGTGAAGAGGTGGCAGCGGCTATACCTTTGTTACGGACGCAAGGAAGGGCAGCCACATCGCCCTCATACTGGAAGGTGTGCGGTACCACGGGTACGAAGGTCAAGGGGAGGTTGTGCCGGGTTGACGGCGCAGGGACGTATAGCGTATGCGAAGGAGCTAACCTAACAGTTGATTTCGACCCACAGAGCCGCTTGATAGTACCGCTGGCGGCGCAGGGGGATAAGATACTCGGGCCGATGGGAGAAGCTCGAACAAAATTACAACAGACACGGTGTCGGAAATCTGCTATTGCCAGCCATCTGCCCTTCCTTCTGTCCTTCTTGCTCTTCTCTGTTCCTGTCCTGCCTCAGCCACTCTCTTTGAAAGAGTTTCCTCCCTCACCCCGTAGGTCCTCCCATAGTGGCGTGCCACCGGATGCTAGATCTGAGGTAACAAATTTCCACTAATATGAGAGAATAACAAGAGAAAAGCATCGGGTGTGTGTGAGAGAGTGAATTTACCTGGCCCAGGCTCGAACCGTGCATTTCTCATTGTGCGGCTCGAGCCGGGGTTGGTTTGTTCACATTGGTTCCTTGGATTCCACCCCTCGGTGCTCTCCTACCCACCTCACGTCAGTTTCCCTGGTCCCCAATTACCTGCCCTACAATGTGCACACTCAACATTGCTACACCATAACTACACCGCATACTCTGGCACCTATATGCATAATCATGCATATTCGGTGACAGCTGTCGGAAATCTGCTATTGCCAGCCATCTGCCCTTCCTTCTGTCCTTCTTGCTCTTCTCTGTTCCTGTCCTGCCTCAGCCACTCTCTGCCCCCTCCTGTGCCCGTGCTCGAGCAGCTTGAGCGCGGTTCACAGGACCAGCACGCTGAGGCCCTGTCCCTCTGATCACAGCTGTGTTCCGCTGGTGCTCCTTCAACTGTGCCCCCTTCTCATTGTCCAGTACCAGCACCCCTGAGGGGCGCACCCCCTTGACCTTCCATCGCACAGTCCCCAACCCCACATCCAGTGTGTCCTGCTTCGCGCTCTTCAGGGATACCTCCTGTCCTTCACAGACTCCCTTCGGCACTCTCCCCTCTCCCTTGCGCTGCCTCTGCTTTACCCTGCCCTTCCCCACCGCTTGTAAGGCCAATTGCCTCCTGTGTTTCGCTAATATTGCCAACATCACCTTCTTCCCTTCTTCGCTCACTGTCTCTCCCACCTTCCACTCTGGATACTCCCCTTCCATGCAGGACCAGGCTCCTCGCGGGACCGCTGCTGCCTCTGCTTTCCCTCCACCCTGTACCCGTTCTTGTAGTGACTCCGACCTCATCATCTGCTCATTCATTGTATTCCCCAACGCCCTCCTTCCTTTCAGCTTAGTCGCACCTGGGGCTGCCATGATGTTCTCTTCATTCCTCATGGCTAACTCTCGCTCCAGAGCCGTGGGCTCTTCCCTTCTGCCCTCCTTGTGATCATACACCATAGTAGGTCCCGCCTTCCCTTCTTCGCCCTTTTCGTCTGCCCCCAGCGCTGACAGTGCCTGTACCTAAGTCCCCCCCGATTACATGGGTAAAGCTTGCTGTAGCACCTCCTAGTCACTCGTGCCGTTGTCCTTACTGGCTCTACAATGCCCTGCACCTTCCTCCCCCAAGCCCGTCCCACACCGGCTATTTCCTGCTGCAGATATTGGGCGGGCACCAAGTTGTGCCGGCACGTCCCGAGCCGACGAGCTCGTGCCCCCACCTGAGCTTGTGCCCCCACCCGAGCTCGTGCCCCCACCTGAGCTCGTGCCCCCACCTGAGCTCGTGCCCCCACCTTTGCTGTACCATCTCTCGCCCCCAGTCCCATCTGCTGTATGATCCTCTTCCTCACCTGTCGTGTGGGCTCTCGGCTGTCCCCTTTGAAATCCAAAAATTCTACTCGGAACACTATGCTGCCCTGCCTCTCATGCAGCCGTTTCATGATGTGAAACCGGTTCTCTATTAGTTTCGTGCCAAGGTCCCTTTCTCCTAGCCCCATCCCTGCTCGAGAAACACCCTGGCATTCCCAATTTGCTACCAACAACTCCACCTGCCCCCAGTTTGCCGCTTCCGCCTTTGTCACAATCTTCATAACAGGATCCCTTCTCCCCATCACCTCTTGCACCACTTCCCTGCTCAACAATTCTAGGGACTTCTCGCGCAGCCTCCACCCGGCATGGTGCTCTGCCATCTTCCTTACGACGGGCTCCTTGTCCTGGCAAATCCACTGCTTTACTGCGTTTCCATGCTTTATCACTGCCGCCGACCCTGCTCCTATCCCGCCCAACAGTTTGACCTGTCCGATGGGCTGCTGCCAGTTACTCTGCTGGCCCTGCTTCCCCACGGTCTTCATCTTTCCCTCCTCCTGTCTTTCCACCCCTCCTTGTGCATCCTGTTTCCTTGCCCCCTGTTTCTTCCCTGTCAATGGTGTCAGTTTAGTCGGAGCACGAGTGCTTTCCATCCAATCAAGTTCTCCCGTTTCTGCCATCGCTGCTGATACACAAGCTTCTGCCCCCACCTGCTCGTCTCGTTCCTCTGCTCCCGTTGCTGCTGATATACACGCTCGTGCCTCCATCCCCTCATCTTTCCTTTCCGCTTTCGCTACTGCTGATGTGCATGCCTGTGCCCACACCTTCCCTTCTTTCCCTTCCGTTCTCACTGGAGCACATGCCCATGCCCCCACCTTCTCGTTCTCCCTGTCCGCTTCCGCCGCTGCTGGTACACACGCCTGTGTTCTCACCTTCTCTTCTCTCCCTTCCGGTTCTACTACTTCTGGTGTGCACGTCTGTGCCCCCACCCTCTCTGCCTTGCTTTTCGCTTCTGCTAATGCTGGCATACCCTTCTGTGCCCCCTGTTTCTTCCCTGGCAATAGTGTTAGTTCAGTCCAAGCATGGGTGCTTGCCATCCACTCAAGTTCCCCCGTTCCTGCCGTCGTCACAACCATCCCCTTTGCTAGCTGCTTCTCTGGTGCTATCAGTCCCAGTTCTTCTGCCATGACCTTCCCCAACTTCCTACTCCGTGCTCCAGTGTCTGTGATCACCGTCTTGTCCTTCTCCCCCTCCATTGGCGTCGCCCCATTTCTCACCACCAGTGCTGAAATCTGGCTTACTAGCCCGTCCGGCGGGTGGCGAGCCACAACGTCCTTTGGAGTTGGCTCCTCTGCCTGCTGCCCCTTCTCTCCTCCTTTTTGTCGGTGCTCCTGCTGGCTGTCCTCCCCTCCACTGCGTAGTCCCATCTCTTCCCTTCCCCTCCAGGCCATATACGCGCGTTGCACATCCTGCCCTACTTCCCCGTCATCCCCATCTCTGGCGCTCGTTCCTGCCTCCGCTTCCTGCCTTGGTCTGAGTGCCTGCAGCTGTGCTTGTAGCCGTTTGAGCTCTTCCGGGTTCCCCTTTGTTGTCCCCTCCCGTTGGTAGCAGTCCTTCGCCTCACGTCCCTTCTTGCTGTAGATTTCACACCCTGATGGATCTGGGCACTCTCTCCTCAAGTGTCCCGGCTTCCCACAGCAATCACAGTTCTTGCAATCTCTCCTAACGTGCCCCGACTGTCCGCATCTGTAGCAGGTCCTGTTCTCTGCCCTACCATCCCCTCGTCCCTCTGACCTTCCCCTATCCTCAGCCATCCTTACTGCTGCCCATGTCAGTTCTCGGCTCTTCTCTGTCGTTCGGGGCCGGTATGCTTCATACTTCCTCTGCGCAAGCTCCATCTTCTCCGCTAACTCAAACACCTCATCTAGTGTCGCGTCTGCCCCCAGTGTGTAAACCTTCATTCGCAGCCCATTCCCCATGGTATTGTCCAGCCCATCGAGGAATTTGCTAACGAGTAGGCCCACGTCTGAGCATGTCACATCCTCCGCCACATTGATCAGCCGGTTGTAGTAGGTGAGCAACGACTCGCTCCGCCCCCTCCTGAAATCCTGAAACTCTCTTATCCGCTCTGCTGTATTTCCAGGAAACTGCCGCTGTAGCCGCCTCAGGAATGCCTCCGTGGGGTCTTCCCCATACCTCCCTGCCTTCTCCAGTAGCTCGTCCATCTTCATCCTGTACAACGTTTCTGCCTCCCCTTCCAATGTATTCGGCAGACTCAGGAAGAAGTCCACCGAGTCCATGCCGCTCCTCTCGCATCTGTACCTCACACTCCCCACTTGCATTAGGTAGTTCTTAAGTGTAGGCCCCGTGTGCTGATCTCCCAAGAATCGCGCCGGCACTTCCACTCGCGTGGCCATCGTTATGCTCCCCCAACCGTCTCCCCATGGTTCAATCAGTCCTCTCGTCTGCCTTCTTGATGACTCCCTCTCCCTTGCCCTCTCGATTCCTTCCCTTGCCTCTGTGGCGCACTCCGTGCTGTACGCCAGACCGCCGCCTCCCCTTTTGCTTCTGCGCTGGTCCTGTCCCGCCTCGCTTCGTAGGTCCTCCGCACTCATCCGTGCTCCTGCTCGCCCCCACTGCCGCTCTGGCGAGCAATGCGCCCTCGCCCATCCTTCCCTTAGCGTTCCGCACTGCCAGTGCCTCTCAGGCGGTGGGGATCTCTCGTCCCTTCTTCCTCCATGCCCGCGGTGACTTTCTTGCAGATGCCACTCCTCCTCCCATCTCCCTCCCTGCTTATGCTGCAGATCTGGCGAACGTGCCTCGCCCCTTGCCCTTCCCTCGTTGTGCCGATGCGGATCAGGCGAGCCACACTCGCCAGTCCGTCTTCTATCTCATTGCCAATGCTCATCAGGCGAGCGCGCCCCGCCTCCCTGCCTCCCATCATGGTGCCGACGCGGAGCAGGCGAGCGCGGCCCTCCGTTCCACCCTCCTCCGCGCTGCCGACGCGGATCAGGCGAGCACGACCCTCCGTTCCGCACTCCTCCGCGTTGCTGACGCGGATCAGACAAGCGTGACCCTCCGTTCCGCCCTCCTCCGCGCTGCCGACGCGGATCAGGCGAGCGCGACCCTCCGTTCCGCCCTCCTCCGCGCTGCCGACACGGATCAGGCGAGCGCGACCCTCCGTTCCACCCTCCTCCGCGCTGCTGACGCGGATCAGGCGAGCGCGACCCTCCGTTCCGCCCTCCTCCGCGCTGCCGACGCGGATCAGGTGAGAACTCGTCCCTGGGCACTTCATATCGCATCTCCGCTCGCCCCCGCTGCTGCTCTGACGAATGATTCGCCTTCGCTCGCGCGTCCCGGCTGCTTCCATGCTGCCGCTCTACCCCTCGCGAAGGTGACCACGCGTCACGCCTTCCTCTACGTGGCCGATGCGGGTCTGGCGAGCGTAATTCATCACTTCGCCTTCCCCCTCCCTGCCGATGCAGATCTGGCGAGCACGACCTGTCGCCTCGCCTTCCTCTGCACATGTGATGCAGATCTGATGCATGCGGCCCCTCTTTTCGCCTTCCTTCGTCCTGCCGACGCGTATCTAGAGGATGATCTTCTTCCGCACGCTCATACGTCATGTCGCCCTGCTTTTCTTGTGGCTCAGGCGCCGAATTCTTTCCGTGGCTGTCGTCGCCAAGCTCTGTTCGCTGATCTGACGAACGATCTCCTTCATTCGCCCCACGTTGCTCCGCCTCGTCGCGCGCCGGCGCCTGATCCGATGCGCCTGGTGCTGCCGGGAGATCGCGTCGCGTCCCCGCCTCCATACGTTGGTGCTTTGGCTCCTCGCCGTACTCGTCGACTTCGGTTCCGTCTTCCTCGCGCCTCGCCTTCACTGACTCGTCGGCGCAGGATATCTCCTTATCTCCTTCGCTGCAATACCCCCGTCCAAACACCGTGTGGTCCTCCAGGGTGCTCCCGCGGTCTCCTCCACCGCGACGGCGCTCCCCTTCTCCCGGCAATCTTGGCGCTCCCGTATCTCGGCGACGTCGTCCGCCGCCTCCCTCTTCTCGTCGTCCATCAAGCCGCCACGGATCGCCGCCCGTCATGGCAGATCCCGATCCGTCTCCGCCTTCGCAAACTGATCCGCCTCCGCATCGTTCACGCGTGAACGGAATCTGATCCGCGCGGAATGCTAGCCTCCGCGGCGACCACTCCAGCGAGCACCCACGTTCATGCGTCCGGCCCTAACACGGCCGTTCCTCCTCACGACGAGCCCAACGCAGCTCGTACTCGTCCATAACTCACACACGCACTGGCTTTTCTCTTGTTATGAAAGAGTTTCCTCCCTCACCCCGTAGGTCCTCCCATAGTGGCGTGCCACCGGATGCTAGATCTGAGGTAACAACTTTCCACTAATATGAGAGAATAACAAGAGAAAAGCATCGGGTGTGTGTGAGAGAGTGAATTTACCTGGCCCAGGCTCGAACCATGCATTTCTCATTGTGCGGCTCGAGCCTGGGTTGGTTTGTTCACATTGGTTCCTTGGATTCCAACCCTCGGTGGTCTCCTACCCACCTCGCGTCAGTTTCCCTGGTCCCCAATTACCTGCCCTACAATGTGCACACTCAACATTGCTACACCATAACTACACCGCATACTCTGGCACCTATATGCATAATCATGCATATTCGGTGACAACGGCTGTGCAAGGACGGTGTGGTGGTGCCGCTGAGAGAGATCAGAAGGGCCCTGCAAAGCTCAGCTGGCACGGCAAAAGGGAAAAGGAGGTGGGAAGGACAAGCGGTGATTGAGTGGGATGAGGTCATCAGGCAGAGGGACTCCCTTGCCACGCCTGCCAGAGCACGTGGCGTCCTGCTGAGGCTGCATTGTAGAATTTTGCAAGTGGGCACGAGGCTGCAGTTTCTGCACAACAGTGTTTGTCCGCACTGCAAGGGAGAGGAAACGCCGGAGCTCTGCCTGTTTGGCTGCCCGGCAATACAAAAGGTGATGGGTTTCCTGAAAGATGTACTGACAGCGATGAATCTGGAGAAGCGCTGGGAGAATTTGGAGGATCTGCTGTTCATGCAGAGGAGTTCAAAGTCGGGGTTTCCAGAAAGTTCCTTCATTGCTACCACACTTCACCAAGTCTGGCTGGCGAGGTGTGACGCGAATCTGCACAACATTCGGTTCCAGACAAAGAGAGTGATACGGCGAGTGGTGAGAAAATGAACGAGGATGAATTGACTAAGGGAAAGTTGGGTACAAGTAAAAACCCTAGAAAGTCGTACCCCATATGTGCTACCCCACTATAGCCTACAACAGCTATGCCATATAAATCTGACAAGTGGTGGTGAATTTTGTCGTGCATGCACTGGTGTACTGCCTGACGCGGGAAATTACAGCAAGTAAGCGGAGAGAGCCGGTAATTGGTGACACATGGACGCATCTGGAGGCAGACGAGGCAAAGGTTATGAAGAGGATCTGCAGCAAAGCTGCGCCGCTGACGTGGAAGATGGGCTTCAGCTCCCTCTGGGACAACCCGAGGCTGACGCATCAACCATCGTAGGTTGCGAAAGGGGAACCGTGGCAACGGTAACCATGGCCCTCCCCTAGTTACACAGTTATGACTGACGATGTTCTTAAAGCATTCTTGTACTGTTTTAAAGCATTTAAAAAACAAAAAAAAGTTTCTTGGCAGGCTCCGATAAACCCTCGCCCAAAAAATCCTAACTATCACACGGGCGTGTAACCTCTGTAAACTACCTTTACCGCGGCTGTAAAAAAACCAACCAAATATACTGAGAAACCTGAACCGTATGGAACAGACAGGCTGGCCTTGTCTCATTCCAATCGCCTAATTGAACCGTATCGGACCATAATCTGGCCCGGCCATCTTTAACTGTGCTTTTCCTCCACGGATGTCATGATGGTCAAACCCAAAAAAACCCTCGACGCCATCAGTGTAGTGTCATGGCTGCCAGAGAATGAGGGAGGGTCAGGGCGGTAAAGAGGAGAGCATGATTGTGAATATCGCAAGAAGCTATAGTGTGGGCGATAGTGCAAGAGTCAAAGAGTTCGAGAAAGAAAAAGTAAGAAGAGAGTGACACTGCAAGAGTGCAAGAGCACAAGAGGGAAGGAGCACAAGAAAGCTACAAGTGTGAGAGCGCAAGAGCGAGACATTGGAGAAATGCGATTGGGCAAGTGCGGGTTTGCAAGAGTGCACGTGTGAGAGTGCAGGAGCGCAAGAGCGAGAGGGTGCGAAGTTTGAAAGTGCATGTGAAAAAAAGGACAATAATGCACGTTCGCTAGAGTGGGACAGTGAGAGAGTGGAAGGGCAGAAGAGTACGAGAGTGCTCAAGTGTGGGGGCAGCAAATTATCTGAAAGACATGAGGGGCATTCACTCTGACTAGCTTAAATGAAAACGCCGTACACTTTACACTGCAACGCCATGTATGAAATTCCAAAGGTTACAATCTTGGCGGCAATTTTCGCGTCATAATTCAGCTTGCACTCACGACTGTCCCTAACTACATATCGTGTAGTGCTGTGAGAGTACGACGGCTTATGCTTGCTTATTATGCTATATTTAGCTTGGGTTTATTTTATCATGCATAGATATGCTTGATGTCCTAGGTTAGGTGCATTCCTTTACGTAATTATAGTTATAGCACCGAACCAGGTTACGTGTACCGAACTCAAGCCTTTCGGCTGCCACCGAATTGCTTTCTACGGAGTTCTGGAAGGTTCTGTTCAGGACGCTTCGCGACCCTCAGAATATTCGTGTAACACCTGGGTTACCTATCTTGTGTCGAGACTATATGTAGCCTCGTGTTGTACCCAGTTGGATCAATTCAATTCAAACCCACTTTTATGAGCTCAATCCTAGATCATTTCACTTGATAATCAGAGCCTGTTTACTCGCGAAGTTTTTTCGACCACTAAAACCTAGCTTTCACAACCGTGGGGGCGACGACAAAAAGCGTCGATTTCGGGTACGTAAACCAGTTCCGCGCTGTTTTTAACTCCCCCTGTGAACAAGTGAACGCGAATGAATGAACTATGAACGAAGTGGGTACAAGTAACAACCCTAATTGGGTTGTACCCCCTATGGTATACCCCACTACAGCCTACATAAATGTATAAGCTATATAATGTTCTGACACACCCCCATAGGCAAAGTGGGGGAGAACAAGGGGTCACAAGACCAGTCAAACAAAGCAAAGCAAAGCAAGCTCAGGGTGGATCACAAAGTCACCACACAGTCCGAGCACAAGGTCAAGGCCACAAGGCCAGTTCACATGCAGGAGTACACATATATATATAAGGCTAAACAAGCAAGAGCAGGTATATATATATGTAGGAGTACAAGCAAGGTCAAGGGGTGAGCAAGTGAGGCAAGACAGGCACAAGTCCCAGCTGAGTGCAGAAGCGTTGATGATCACAAGGCGGAAGTGCCTTGGTGAAAACATCAGCAGTGTTGGCCTCAGAGGCCACGTACGCAAGTCGCAACTGACCACGCTGCTGAAACTCACGAGCAAGAAAGTAGCGGAGAGCAATGTGCTTCGTTCTGTGCTCCAAGCGCTGCTCCCGACACAAGGCTAGCATGGCCTTGTTGTCTACGTACAGCACTGGAGGAGAACGAGGTGGCTCTCCGAGGTCAGTCAGCAGGTAGGTAAGCCAGCGAAGCTCCTGTGCAGCCATGGCCCCGGCGTAGATCTCAGCCTCACAACTGGAGCCGAGAACAGAAGACGAGCGAGTAGCCCGCCACGAAACAGAGCCGGAACCAAGGCTGAAGGTGTAACCCTGTGACGACCGCTGCGTAGCCTGGTCGTCTGCCCAAGAAGCGTCCGCGTGCCCAGTGAGGACCACTGGACTCCGCCCTCCAAGCACTAGCCCCATGCCCGACGTACTGCACAAGTAGCGCAACACCCTCTTCGCTGCAGCCATGTGCTTTGGTCAGTGTCTCCCAGGAGCAACATAGCGTGCAAGAATGCTAAGAGGGTATGCAAGGTCAGGTCGTGTGCAGGTCATCAGGTAAATGAGGCAGCCAACAAGCTCTAGGTACGGGCCACTCGGCTCTACGGACTCATCCGAAGGCAGAGCTGAGAGCGAGTGGCGAGTAGACAGAGGACTGGCCTGAGGCGAGGAGTACGTGAAGCCGAAGCGCTGAAGGACCTGCTGCACCATGTGTGACTGGGTCAGGGTAATGGTGCGGCGTGCTCTGTCCTGGGTGATCTGCAAGCCAAGGTAGCTGCGCAGCTCACCCAGGTCTGTGCACGTGTGTCTCTTCTGCAGCTCGGACTTCACGTGGGCGAGTCCAGCAGTGTCAGCTGTGGCAAAGACCAAGTCGTCGACGTACACGAGGATGTAGAACGGCGGCAGAGAGGTGTCGGTGCGCAGAAACAGCGACGGGTCAGCAGTAGAGGGAGCAAACCCAAGAGCCGCAAGTGTAGTCCTCAGTGTGTCGTGCCACTCGCGCGGTGCCTGGCGGAGACCGTAGACTGGCCGTCGGAGGCTCCACTGGGTGCCAGGAGGGAAAGTCCCAGTGAAGCCAGGTGGACAGCGTAGCCAAATCTCCTCGTGCAGGCTACCCTGCAAGAAAGCAGTGCTGAAGTCAAGAGAGTGGAGCTCGTAGTCGCGCTGAGCGGCTATGTGCAGCAGCACCCGAAGAGTGGTCATCTTCGGGGTGGGAGAGAAGGTCTGAAAGTAGTCAACTCCCTACCGCTGACTGAAGCCACGAGCCACGTACCGCGCCTTGAAGACAGGTGGAGAGCCCGGCGGCCGCTTCACCCTGAAGATCCACATGCCACTGACGATGTTCGCCCCAGGAGGGGGAACCGCGTCAACGTAGGTGCATGTGGACTTCCAGGAAGCCATCTCTGCATCCATAGCTGCCTGCCACTGAGAGGAGTAGGGACCCTCTACGGCCTCCACGTAAGAGCGCGGAGTCGGGATGTCCAGTGCATCCGGGTCTCTCTCAGGGGCAAGTAGTACGGACGCGAGATGAGGTGAAGCAGCAGCAAGACACTGGAACTCCTCCTGCCTGTCCTCAAGGACGTCCGTGCTAAGAGCACACTCACCCCCGAAGGACGGAGGACAGACAGACACAGACTCAGCAACAAGACTGGCAGCGTAGTCTAGACGACAGCGAGCAGCAAAGTCGACGA